AGCAATGGTTTCTACAGCTTTTCCAGCTTTAAAATACATGTACCTTTGTACAGCTGTACCTTTTTTTCCAAATGAATGTAAAATTCCAGTGATGGAATAGTGCTACATTTGAATTATTGCTTCAGATCTCAAGTCCTGGACATAGTGTTTATGTCCTACATTAGCATTTGGTTTTGTTGCCCAGATTGGTGTATGTGAGACCTCATTGCTGGAAGTTCTTGTGAGAATGCCATGATCTGAGACTGGTCTTACCTGACTGGAGCCCCTGGGCATTGCTGAAGCCATTGCATTTTCTCTCAAATTTGGCAACACCAGACAGTTGCCAAAGCCACCATCAGTTCCATTCTGGCTTCCTCCTCCTTCCCAGGCAGCTTACCTAGAGAGGGTTCACAAACAGGTCTACTCAAATTCTTTTTGGACATGCATTGTGGTCATAAGATGTAACTGTTTGATAGGGATTGGATTCTGGGTTCCTAGGACTCTGTTTTGGGGGTAACATGTAAATAAGAAGATTCTTTCTTGTATTCCTCTGTCTTAAACATGATGTATATTCTCTGAACGAGGCTCTTGCAGAGTCTTTGTTCTGATTTTAGAAACTGGAAATAAATCAATATATACAAAGTAAGTGTTTTATCTGATATAAAGGTGAACTGAGTGGAGAGTGGGAGAAGAGAGGCTTCACTGGCATCTAACTAGATTTACAGTATTGGAACGTTCATCAATCCGCATGCTTCCTTGACTATTTCCTTAACTGTAAACTGTAACCTGTAGGTCTATAAGGAGTTATTATGTTTTTCTTCCTTTGAATTGCAAACTTGAGTGAAGGATTTGAGGTGATTTATCATGTCCATTCTTTGGTTTTTTTGCAAGGATTTTGTTTATTTCCCAGTTTGTCATGACGTTTTCTCTAGACAGGTGAGATGCTCCCTGTTTGGAATTTGAAACAATTCCAAACTCTCTTGACTAGCCTTTTACTTCCAAGTCACTGCTTCAGATCTGCCCAGTCCCAGAAGGGATTTAATTTAAATGAGTGGGTCAGTCTCAATTGTTTAATGGATATCCATTCGTTTTGCCAATGCTAACATCCTTTTAAGATAGATTGGCATCATTCTTTTTTACCATGATAGCAGCGGCTGCAAAGATCAAATAAGCAGTGGACTTTGATTTTTCTTTTGCATATATTTGTGTCCCAGTATTGATAGCTACGCACATTTGTGGAAGGAACAAAACAGGACTCCCTCTATATAACTATTCCAAGGAATTAATTATAAAAAAAATAGACCCCAAATTGATTGAATGCTTTTAACAAAAAGATCAAGATCCTCTGGAAATTGCTTCAGGTTCTCAACACTACATTGTGGGGAGGGAGGGTGTCCAATTTTTAAAAGTGATGATTTTCCTCTCTCATCTGCAAGCTGCACCTGTGAGAACTGGGAAGTGTTCCTGGTGCAATGTGCTGATTTTTTTTTGGGAGGAAGGAGAAAAGAGCTTTTAACAATAGATTCTCTTATGGGAATTGCCCAGATTTGGCTAATGTGACCAACTGTGGCTAACAGTCAAAAATGTCAGATATCTTAAAACTCATAATGAGCCGGTCCAGTCGTCCACCTACTTGCATTTTTTTTTCTGAGGAATGAAGCATTTAATTTGATAATTGGAGGCATTTCTACATATATATATATATATATATAAAAAAAAAAAAGCTGAATGGTTCTTGTGTACACGTCCTTAATTTTACACCCAAGGGCTGAGAATTTTCAGTTCAGTTTGAATAGCTGGTGGTAAATTCAGTAGCAGGGCTGACTGTGGTGGCTTTTACCTATTTTGATGTTTTTCAGACCATGCTTGCTTCATGCTTTTCCAGCTCAGAGAATCAACTGAACCTACAAATGAGTGCAAGTAGACTTGCTACGTACTAATGGAGGATTTCTCACATCTAAACAAAGGCTATTTCAAATCTGGGAGTACAAGATTTGTTCCCTCCTGGTGTAAAGCAATTTTCCAGTAAGAGCAGATACTTGATAATATTTCTGTAATGAAACATAATATAGAGTTTCAAAATGCTAAATGACATTAATTTTTATTCATTTCTAGTAGGGGAACAACAGGGAGTTATCTAAAGGTAAGAACAAGAGCAAATCTTTGTCAGGAGTTGCTGCCATCAGGCAGATGAAACACATGGATTTTGTAAAACACACTTTTAAAATTGCACCCAGTTGGAGAAATCTTACTTTGAGAAGTGTCATAGGTTCTTCCTCACAGAGTGCCTGCAGGGGCAGCGATGACAAACCAGTGGTTCTGCTGAAGTAATGCCAGTGCTGACACTGATGTTTTTCTAGTAATTTTGACATGAGCCTCCTGAGAGTTTCACCAGGGTTGCTGCAGGATGTTTCTTCATCCTGCTTCACCACACAATTTGCAAGTGCTTGGACTCACCCAGCCCCCCACCATAGGGAAACATGCGTTCCCATTTTGAGAAATCCAGAGCTGAAGACACTCTTAATGCAGTGTTGTATGGTGAATGAAAGAAGTCCTGTGTTTTCTTTCCTGGCTGTCCAGTGTCACCATGAAAGGAACCTATACAAAGAAGAGCAGCAAGGGGAGCTTTTGTGAGCCTTTTATCCCTTGTCAGTCCTTCAAGTGCAGTGGAGACAGCAAGGAGCAGGAATGAGGGGTGCAGGGTCTGATTTCCAGGAGGGGAGAGAAGGGACCATGAGGTGTGGCCGTTGCCCTGCACTCAAGCAGTGCAGAGGCTACCACTAGACTGCCCTGAAGCAGGTGGCATTTGTCACCCTCCTGAGTCTGCAGGACTCTAAGCAACAGGTTTCCTGTGTTTACATATGTATTTAGATGTTTAAACAAGTACCTTCCTTAACACGCCCCTCCTCACCCCCTTTACCCCCAGCAATAAAGAAAGCAAACTGGAAAATTTGTGCTCCCATGACAAAGAAGGCTACAATTTGAGTGGCCAGTGTTGCTGTAATCAGTGGCCTTCTGTGTGCACAGTACAATGCAGGTAAGCAGTTGCATCATTTGTTGTTGGGTTTGAGGGTCATGGGTCCCGTCTTTTCTCCCCCCTTCTCTTCACATGGGGTTCTGCCTCATGAGGTCAGTGTAGGAGGGTTGAGGTTCTCTGAATGACAGCGGCTTGGGTTTGGGGTTCTTTTCCCCCTCATTTAGACTGACTTCAAGCTTTATTTACTGCGCAGCATCCAGACTCCACTCTGAAGAGGGAACAAGTAATTTCCTTGTTAGTGTCTTCAGGGTACCTCCTGCAGCTTAGAATGTTAATGAATGTATTTATGTGCTGAGAATTTGGATGTTATTGTCGCCCTTATTTTATCGATGGGGAGTTTAAGTCAGAATGACTGAAGTAAAAACTAGGAATTGTCTCTGAATTTGAGGGGCCCAAGATGAAAAACCCGTGTACTGGCAATTTGCAGTGGCTTCCTTTGTAGTCTTTGCAGGTTCAAATCACATTTCCTACAGATCCATAGCAGCATAGCTCAGAGTTTCTGCAAATACAGCCACAGCTACTGATGTGATGAGGTGAGGAGCACTGGTCCTCATTGCTGAAGTCTCTCTCTGGCTTCTCAAATACCAGAGAGCTGGCAACAGGCGGGCATCTCTCCAGGGCTGCTGCTCAATTGCTTTCATTGCAAGAGCTTTGCCTTGACAGTTTCCTGCTTTGCCTTTTCTGTCTTTAACAGCAGATGGGTCAGACCCAATTTCCTTCAGTTCCCGGCCCTCACCTCTCCAGAGGTGTGTGTTCTGTGCTTTGTATGAAGCTGGAGTCTCATAGGAAATAAACTGTGATCATTTAATTTGGCATTCTTGTAGCATGTATGCACAGAAGGACAAATCAGGATGGCAATTCATTTGTTCACTTTTGACTATTTTTATCTGTAACCAAATGTGTGTGTGTATATATATATATATTATTTATTTTTTAAGCTAGGAATTTTTGGTATGTATTCACTTTGCATTGGGGTTTCCTTATACAGTATTTTAATGCCCCAAAATATGCTTTGTCTCTGGAAATATGTATCATTTCTGGACTTCAAAGGAACTGAAACTGGAAGAGCAGCCCAAATGCATAGTATCACAGAGGATCTGCTATGAAATACCTTGTCTACTACAACTCTAGAAAGAGCAATAGGTAGGTCAAAACTTGCTTCTGAGCAGTTGCACTTTATATGCTTTTACCAGAGTATCATAGAACCGTATGACTACTGACTCATGTCATGCATCAATACTTCAAGTGCTGCCCTCTGATTCTCTTCCCTAAACTCTAAAGTAATGACTGTCCAGTGCAGAAAACCTGGCTGTTACTTAACAAATGATAGGCTGCCTGTTAATGCCCAATTCAGCAGAGTGTTAAAATATCAGAAATCTGTGTGTATATTTTGGGAAGAGTGCCCTTGGTCAGAGATCCTCTTTGGAACCAGAATCAATCATGTGACTAAGCTGTATCAGAAAGAAAGGGGAAAGATATGAAGAATGAACAGTACTAACTTCTGTCTTTATTATCCTGTGCTTTGTTCTGTTCTCTCCATTCACTCTCAGGTCTAGAGAATCTTCTTGAGAAATTAGTGTTTGGGTTTTTGCCTTTTTTTTTTAAAAAAAAAAAAAAAAAAAAGTATTAAATGGGTTGCAAAATAATTTCTGAATAGGGGGCAAATACCACGCAATTCTTCCCAAGAGCAATCTTGCAGATATTTGCTACACTTGTACAGAAGTAATGGTAGGACATGTGTCATATCACAGCGTGATCACATCTTCACTTATGCAAAGAGTTATTTTAAAGTTAATACAAAACCAGATCCTATAAAGGCTAAGAAATAGTTATTCCTCTGAGCCATTTATGTGTGTGTGAGCTCTTAAAAGAAATGGGAGCATAATGGTATATTAGTGAAGAATGTGAGCAAAACTTCCCTGAGAAGCTTTTGATTTGTGCTGCCTACTAGTTAAGAAGCTGATGGGATTTGGTGAGTGATTGGCCAGAATCTTACAGGAAGGTAATACTGGAACAGAGTTTTAATTTGCTTGAATTTCTCTGTAGGCAAGCCAGTTTACACCTGGGACCACCATGTTCAAGGGACATCAAGAGGAAACGAAAGCCAGCTGCAGCCTCCATGTCCAGCCCAGCATCAGGTAATTTGTGTGTCAGCATTTCCAAAGTTGTGTCCCTCTTGAGCAAAGTGCTAGAGTGACATTAGTCAAAAATAGCATTACCTTGATTTGAAACTAATGAAATGTGTTTGAGAGAGAGTATCATGTGTTTTTGCATAGCATCAAAAGCTGCCTACTAAACAAATCTTTGACGCTGCCGCTATGGTAAGTTAATATAATTTACAGTGCTTCGCTGTACAGTGGGTAATAATCTGTTTCTTCATAAGGTGTTATTTCCACCATTCCTAAATTATGGAATACATGGTAATAAGGAGGTGATAAGTGTACACAGTGTGTTCCTTCATTGTTGATCTGACACTAGCTGATGTCTAGAAACACCCTGAAAAAGGGTATACCAGAGCCACTTTTACACAAGTAGAAATCTGGCAATTTTTGTATCATCACTGGGTGAGACTAGCTATTCCCTGAGAGTTGGCTTACTCTTGTGTATGAAAATAGTCACTTTTTTCTTTTTCTTGCTCTGGGGATGTAGTGATTAAAATGCTGGTTTATTTTCACGTGGCATATTTCTGGAAAGTGATTTATTACTCACTGGAATCTGAAGAAGTTTTAAGCTGCAGAACACAGGGATTTAGTAGACTTTCTGGCCTCTCACTCTACCCCCTCTTGAAATATTTTGCCTACTATCAAGCAACCGATGTTCTTCCAACTAGTTTATTAAAAAACTATTGTTGTAATCCAGTAATGAGGTGGTGGATAAGGTCATGGGGAAAAATGGTGATGGGAAAACAGTGGGGAAGGCTAAAGGAACTGATGATGAATAGGAGGAGGGAAATTTGGATGTCTTCCTTAGGCTGGGTAAAATAATGAAGCAGGGAAGAAAGTTATGCTAGCTCTCCAGGCCACAGGTCTAGATTACAGACTATCTGAAAAGTTGTGTATTAAAAAAAAGAAGATAAAAGAACATTAAATTGGCAAAAGTGCTTAGCAAAAATGTCATGTGTTATTGACTATTTATTTAGAATATTCTTGCCTGGCTTTTGAGTAATACATGCCAGGGCATTCAAACTTCTGTAGTGAAAGGGTTAGTAAAATTGTATATACGTAGCCAGAGAATTTTAGTTCTGGGATACTAGGTTGTCTTGGTATGAGTGCTAGTGTCTCACTGTCCCCTGTTACCTGTCCATTTATTTATTGTTCAGAGTATATTCTGTACTGCATTGCTGGTCACTTTCTATAGGGAGAGCTTCTATTTCTCTGCCTATGTTTCAAAATAGGCAAATTGTATAGTAAACATTTTTTGAAGAGTTGAATCTGCATCTGGAGTGGAACTCAGCACTGGAAAATAGCATAGAGGTTTGAAAGGTTGGTTTTTGGAGGGAGATGAGGGAGAGAAAGTATGTATTACAAAATAAGGAAGGAGAGTATAGTTACTGGAATCTGGACAGGATGCTTGTGCTGATCATCAAGAGAAAAGTGCTGCAAAGGTCTTCAATGGTCAGAAATGGTAAAGACCTCTTCCTTAGGCCCAGTTTAGAAATATGCCCAGCAAAGTTAACACCTATGGACAGGGTTTGCTATAATACTGACTAGCAGAAAGAAAATTTGTGATTGGGTAACTGAAGCTGTGCCCTAGCTGGCTTTCTACAGCAGCTTCCTAATTGCAGCTGGAGCACAACCTGGGTATGTAACTTGGAAACTTCTGAAATCTGGGTATTATATCTCTCAAAGGTGATCTGACTTTGGAATTACTAATGCCTAAAGAAACACGTAGGGTTACTCTGCAGTAATGTAGAATTAACTGAAGACTCTTATGCTTTTTAGACATTGATGAGATAGATACAGATTTTTCTCCCTTGCCATGCATCTACTTGCCCCTAGATAAATGTCTTATACTGGTGTTCTCCTGTACCTTAGGAATCATGACAGCCTCATTTTCTCACTACAGAGGCTTTTTATGTTTGTGTTGTTTTATTTTTTCTGCAAAAGATGAAACACAGGTGACTCAGAATTCAGGCCCATGCCTGTCACTGCAGGTACGCAGGGTGCGGGATTTCTTCACCTTTAAATAGCTCCTTAGCTGAGTCCAACTGCTCTCGTCTCACTTGTTGACCAGGTCCTGCTTCAGTGATCTCCTTTTTTGCAACCCGAGTGCCCCATGGAGGTGAAGGACACAGCCTGAGCTGGCTCCATCAGTCAGCAGAACAAATGGGCTTGCTCTGCCGAACATCGGGCCATCTCGGATTCCACCTCTTTTATAGAGATGAGTGATGAAGAGGGGCTCGTTCCGCTTTGCCGCTGTATTAATACACATCAGGGGCCAGCTCCCGGCACTAAATCACGCTACTGCATACATCTGTTATCGGACTCCTCACCAGTGTGATGAACAAGACTGCAGATAGAGGCTTCCTCATGTCATTCTTTATAGGATTTTCCTAAAAGAATAAATAGCTCAAATCTCTGCCAACACTCTCCCCTGTCATTGTGATGAATTTAGCTTCTTTCTTAAACATGCAGCTACAAATCTTCCCCTGTCGCCTCACCCCCCACCATCCACAGAAAGTTTTGAGTTGAATTTGGCTGAAATCAGAAGATGCTAATAAAAGGCATATGTGATGTGGATGCTATCTCCCTTCTAGCTGCAGGAATGAGAGAAGTGAGCTAGACATATGTTTATTTGGGAGCCATGCAAACTAAGTTTATTCTGTGTCTTCTCACGTACTTTTATGAATGTGAGTATTCTATGGATTTTGGTAAAACATAATTTGTCAAAGACCCTTTGTATGAACATAAAAACCCATGCATTACTGTAGCAGAAGTGTCTAGATCTCTGTTGTATTGTTATAGCATTAAACTTCTGGTATTAGTCCTGCCCTTTGAGGGTAATTGGCCCAAATACCATAAATGACATAGCTGTTAAAGAATAGCATTTTGGAAAAAGGCCTGTCTCTTGAGAGCAACAAAAAGCAGGTAGAAAATTCAGAACTCATTTGCACTTCAGGAAGTGACTATTACCAAAATTGAGTTGTGAGCAAACTTATGGAAATGTTGAGAGAGATTGAAAAGGAAAGTTAGTGCTTTCTACACTACACAGTTGAGAAGTATGCGAGCCCTAAAGCATGAGGTTTTCAATGGGTAAGAATAAAAGTCTGGCTGGTGTAGTTTGGCAGTAGAATAAGGAAATCTGGAGGAAGTAAGACTGGCTAATCTGGATGAGAGCAGAAGTTCATTCAACTCAGTGACCAACAGTCAGTGCAGAGGGAGGAAGAAAATATGTAGTAATAAATGTTCTTTGAACTTCTGGTGATCCAAGACTTAGGGGCATGGATAGTGTCTTTGTGTTTAGTTACTTTCCGTTGAAGTACAACAGATTTGGAATAATGTCCTCAGTGGCACAGTAGAACTTGTCTGAGAAATACTGTATAAAATGTTATTCATGGTAGTTATGAAGATGAAGTGATGAAGACTGTCATGTCTGTCTTCTCTTTGTCAGAGTAGGCTACAGTATAGATGGCTGTGAAATAAATGGTGAACAATTGTTCAGCCTTACATTGATGTTTTTAATGTTTAGGTGGTCCAGTCCCTTATATATGTAGTGGTGCACATGGTAACTGGCATCCTGGTCAGGTATTACAGTAAGTCTGGGGGTAAAAATCTGCATAAATAGGCTTTTGAATACATGCCTCAGAATGTATTTACACTTAGCTTGTGAAAAATAATAATTTCTAAAAAGTGCCAGTTAGTAGCCTCTGAAACTGCTCGTCAGAGAACAGCCTGATGAGTAGTAGCGATTTGGTGAATTTTCCCTCTCCTGTTTCTTGCTAATGCATTCCCTCTTTGTCATGGTGTGATGGTACCCAGCAGCAAGAAGTCTGTTTCAGTCCTTTGATTTTTTTTTTATTTTTATGAGCAAAGATGGAGAGCCGGAGTGGGGAGGCTGCTAGGAAGGGGCCCACAGTGTAGTATTGGTGGTGATTATTAGTTTAAGTACTTTGACTTACTTTTTTTTTTTTTTCATGTTTCATATTACCTTCAAATGGAGGAAGTTGATGAGCTAGAAGTAAAATATGCAATGTAGTGTTATCAGCTGTGGTGTTGTGGTTGTATGGGAATGACTCACTGTTGTGGATGTAAAGAGGCAGGATTGTCTACTGAGTGTGAAACCTCAAGCATCAAACCAGCTTTTTATTTAAACTTCAAAGTAGTCAGTCCTCTAGTTGAGGCTTGTTATGGCCTCTTTATCCTTCATCCACTACAGAGCAGCAGATGCAACTTGTAGTAAAAACACACAAACAGCTATTATCTGTTGCTAGAATACAATGAAAACGAGATGTGTTTCATACTAAAGCAGTTACTTGTTCAAAAAAATTCTGGTTGCCCCAAAGACTCCTGTGGTAATTACTCCTGCCCTGTTCTGCTTGTGAGGATCAAGTGATTCAGGATACTGAGAATGGGAGTAAACTCTTTTATCTCTAGGTTTCTGAGAATCCTACTGGATTTTCCTACTGGAAATTTGGGTGACCGATGAGTTGAGCTATGGATCTGCAAATCTCTCTTGCTAATTGTAACCTGTCCCATTTTGAAGCAGTGGTTGCACTGAAAAAATGAGAATGGATTCCAACCTAGTTTAGCAAGTAGCTTCTTGTTATAATCTGCTGATTCACCATATTGGATATTCATGGTACTGCGTTTACTGGGTAAGGAGGAGATGTATATTCTCCTCTTTAACTGAGCTTTGCAACCTGAAATTTGTCAAGCCTTCAGAGACTTCGAAATTCTCAGATACAGGATTAATTGCATCATTGTGAAGAGATCAAGTTATTTTCAGTTGAGTGATTATGAATTGATTCAGTTTCATAACAGGACAGCTAAAGCTTTTGATTTTCCACAGAAACTTTGACTAAGAGGACTAGGTAGTCGACTAGGAACCCTGAGTTCTAAATGTGAGACTCATTAAGGCAAAGGTGTTAATGCTATCAAGAACCTGTATTTCAAAGGAATTTGGCAGGGAAACTTGTGGGAACTCAGGAAATAACACATTCATATAAGAAATTATATATATGAGGTGTTTGTCATGAAGTCACTTGTTCTAACTTTTTTTTTAATTACCCTTTCCTACTCTCTTCCTCTGTTCCCCCTTTCCTACTCTCTTCCTCTGTTCCCCCTTTCTTGCAATTTTATATTCCAGCAACTTTATCTGTCCACATGGATGCAGCAGAGTCAGAGCTACCAGCAACACCGTCCCTGAGATCGCAGAACTCTGAGTGGACTGGGAAAACACCAGCAGCCGAGAAAGCCACTATTGCTGCCTCCAGTAACTTTTTTAAAATGCCACCAGAGAAGAGCCCTGGATACAGCTAAAAGGAAGCATTGCAACTGTAAAAGCTTGCTGGATTTTGGAATTGTTTGACTTTGGTGTGTGTCTTCACCAAATATCTTGTTTGGCAGTAGTGATCTCTTCAGTATTGGTGCGTGACGCGTGCCATCATCCAGACTGATCTGCGTGCCCCACATACCTAAATCATGTTTGTGAATCTATGTTTAAAAAAAGGTAATCAGTGTTGGGACCGCAGTGGCTTTTAAAAATGTTCTTGCTATTCCTGTATTTATTATGCATTCATCTCTTTCCCTGATGCCAGCTCATATGTGCTGGGTCATGTACAGATTCTTTTGGGTTTTCAGATCTTTATTCACCCCCAGACATGTTGCTTGTTTGTACGTTTGGCATTTTTTGGGTGAAAGTCCCATTGCCACTCTGGGAGGCAAGTCTCCCCCTGCTTTCTTCCAGGCCGGGAGGATTTCTTGGCTGGGGAATGAGGAGGGACTGCAAACAAGTTGAAATGTGGAACCTGAATTCTGTATTAGTAGGATGTTTTCAGGCCATGTACTAATGGACTGTAATCATGTTGCTTTTGGCAAAGCAAATACAGTGCTTGTCCATTCAGAAATTGCCATTGGCTCACTGGCAGCATGTACCTTCTCCCTTGCTCTGAATGTCTATAGTCTTGCTTGTGTATTGCATGTTCTTTCTTAAATCTCCTACCAGATAAGGATTTGGGAGAACTACTTGGACATTAAATGTGCAAGCTGGAGTCCTGCAAAGGAACTTGGGCCCTTGTATATCCTTGGAGTATGGTAGAGGATATACAAAACTTCAATTTCTCCATGTATAAATTAAAAAATGACTGCTAGCATTTCTAAATGACACTTGCCGTTGAAGTTAACATGCCATTGAACAAAAAAAGCCATTTAAAGTATCACCTGAGTTCAGAGCATTCTGGGTATTGATCAGACCACTTCTGCCGCATGTTTTCCCTCACTTCAAAAAATGTTGTCTGCCGTATCTACCGGAGGTGTCTCCACCTACTGATGATTGTACTTTACTCTGCAGCGTACACAAAAGAGATTCTCTTCATAGCATTTTGACTTGGTCACCCATTACCTTCTGTGTTGCAGAATATATGGATAGTGATTTCTTCCCTCTATTTTTTTGAATTCTTGATCACACTCCACTTACTTTTCTTGAATTTGTCTGCCTGGAGATTATTCTGGGCAACATTTTTAGAATATACACCTGGATAGCATCTGTCAAAGAGCAGGTGGTCTCGTGGCTTCTAAAGTCCATTAAAAATAGGAAATTTGTGTATGCATAGAACTGTTTGCTTTCCTTACCGTGTGCAGCTTTCAGACAGGACCATTTAAGCTTGTAAAATTCATTTTGAATGGAGAGGTGCAGTTAGCACTCTAAAGCAGATAACAAAATTTGCATCTTTTTAGTGGTTTTGCAGTGTTCTACCCTACTTTATAAATCAAATAGCTGAGGGACAGATTTGATTGTGAGGCTATAAAGGAGTGATTTATATTTAACTCTGTATTAAAATGTTAAATGGTCATAACATACACAAAACAAAAATTGAATGACTCACTAAATCATGATTGACAAATACAGTTATACTACAGACACACTGTCCGTGTCTGATCCTCTAATACCTGCTTACTCTTGGAGAGAGATCCAAATTGGATTTATATTTCGCAGCCCAAGCAAACTGTCAGATCTGTCATTGTAAATCCCTCTCAAAACATTTTTTTTTTTTTTTTGTGGTGGTACATTTTAGAACTAATTGGAACAAGGAAAGCCTTTTTACCTTGCTGAAGCAGTACAGAGGTCAGTTTGGATTACAGGACAAGCTGTAAGGGTTATGTGAAGAGAGGAGTGTTCCTGTTTATAAGCAGTCATTGGATTGTCTCATTTTGTCATTATTTTGAGCAGTGGTGCTTAAGAGATAGCACAGGCAGTCTCAGTGCTGGAGGGCTTAACCTAGAACATAGAAAGAGAAGGTAAACCTGAAGAGTAGTAGCTTGACTATCTAGTATTCTTGAACACAGTGAGGGGGAAAGGTGGTCCCATTCTCTTGACAACCTGCAGCTAAATTTGAAGGTAGGAAACCTCGTAACCAAACTTTCAGGCTGTTTCAGTGGCAGGGATTATTTTCATAAAAAAAGTATTTGTGCCAACTGAGTGCTTTTCATCTCATGAAGGATCCTCCACAGCCTCTCTTGGTTTGAATTTATTCAACAGACTTACTCAGATTACTGATTACAGCTAAAGTTTTGGCCTTTGTGTTCCTCTTTTAAAAAACAATTCTGATATATCTTGCTACATTCTGAGTATCCTTCAGAGTAGTTCTGTTTCTGCTGGGGTGTCGGGATGGTCTTAAAACTTTCATAAGAGAGGTGTTGGGGAATCAACAGCCTTCATCTTGCTCATTGCAGGGGGCAGTTGCCAGATTTCATATGATTTTTCCTGGGGGACAGGGAAGGATAATTTATCAGATTTTCCTATTGAGGTCAGTAGCACTGTTCATCTGGTTAAGCCCTTACTTAGGTTGTAAGCTCCTAAGAGGTCTTCCTTGCCTTTGCCTGTGGGAGTACTGAAGAGTAACTGTGGCAGGCCTTGTCTTGGTAAGCCATACTTCCTGCCATGCAACTTTCTGGAAGTGCCAAGAGACTCAAGTTCTTGCAGCTGCCCTGTCTTTCCTGTTTCTAGGTTAGAATCCGTTTGCAGGTCAGTCAGACTCAACCAAATTTGATTCTCCTGAGATAGTAGACAAGCTAAATGAATCATATAACTTGTTACTTCAGGGTATTTATCAAAATCTGTCTTCAGACTTCAGTAGCTTGATACAGATTTGAATATCTGCAGCATTCTTAGATGAATGAACAAGCTGCGTTGGTTTGTCTCTTTTCCCCTAAGGCAGGTGCCTTATAACTCACACTGTACTCGCACAGTCCTCACAGTGAAGGACACAGCGCTTCAGGTGTGGATTGCTTGAGTAGAATGGAATAATAATGTGCCTTGATTTGGTAGCTGTGTTTCTACTAAGGTGGTCCAGTATGTGATTATTGCTTCAAAGATACTCAAGTCATATTTCACTCCTTGTCCACCAGGGCTTCCCAGTCTTTTTCCAGGTTTGTCCTCTCTCCTTGTCATTGCGGGAGACTTCAATTTCCTAGACATCAACCGGGAATGCCATACAACTGTGACAAGCAAGTCTGGGAAATTCCTGAAGTATGTTGAAGATAATTTCTTGTCACGAGTACTCGGTGAGCCAACTAGGAAAGATGCTCTGCTAGACTTGTTGTTTGTGAATCGAGAAGGACTTGTGGGAGATGTGATGGTAGATGGCTTGGCCACAGGGATCACACTGAACTCAGTTGAGTTTAAAATTCTTGATGTAATGAGAAAGTTGCTACTCTGGATTAAGAGAGCTAACTTTTAGCTACTCAGCGGGCTAATTAGCAGTGTCCCTAGGGAATCTGCTTTTGAGGGCTTAGGGGCCCATGAGTGCTGGTCAGTTTTTAAGAACCGCCTTTTAACAGGATGTGAGCAGGCAATCCCTTTGTGTTGAAAGTCAAGCAGGTGGCACGGAAGACCAGTTTGGCTGAACAGGGAACTCCTCTTGGAACTCAAGAGGAAAAAGAAATTGTATGTTCTCTGGAAGCAAAGTCAGGTTTTGCAGGAAGATTACAGAGCTGTGGTTCGCATATGCAGGAAGAAGACCCAAAAGGCCAAAGCTTAATTAGAGTTGAAACTGGCTGGTGTTGTGTCAGACAACAGAAAAGGTGTTTTGAAGTACATTAATAGCAAGAGGAAATCTAAGGAAAGCATTGGACCAATACTTGTTGAAGATGCTCACCTGACAAATCAGGATGAAGAAAAAGCGGAGGCATTCAGTGGGTTTTTTTGCCTCAGTCTCTAATACTACTGACAGACCTTGGGCTGCCCAGTCCTCTGAATTGGAGGACCATAACTGCAGGAACAGTGAATTTCCATTTGTGGACACTGAAATTGTAAGTTGAATGTTCCTAAGTCCATGAAGATTTGTCCCAGTGCACTGAAGGAGCTAATGGATGTTACATCAGGACCCCTCTCGATCATCTACCAAAGGTCTTGGGAGTCCTAGGAGGTCTCTGCTGACTTGAAGCTGGCCAGTGTTATTCCATTTTACAAGAAGGGCATGAGGGAAGTCCCAAGAAACTACAGACCTGTTTAGACTAATCTCAGTACCTGGAAAACTTACAGAAAAGGTCGTACTGGGTGCTGCTGAAAGGCATTTAAAGGACAATGCAATCATCAGGCACAGTCAACATGGGGTCACAAAGGAAATTTCTGTTTAACTAATTTGATACCCTTCTATGATAAGGTCATCTGCCTTGGGGATGAAGGGTGGATGTAGTTTTTCTGGACTTTAGTAAGGTTTTTGATACTGTCCCTCACAGCATCCTTCTGGACAAGTTGTCCAACTGTGAGATAAGCAGGTACACAGTGTGCTGGCTGAAGAACTGGCAGCACTCCAGGGGTTGTCGTGAATGGGGGTACATCTGGCTGGCAACTGGTCATCAGCAGGGTTCAATTCTAGGGACAGTCCCGTTGAATGTTTGTATCAATGATTTGGATACAGGAGTTAAATGCACCGTTAGCCAGTTTGCTGATGATACTGAACTGGGAGGTGCTGTTGACCCTCTCAGAGGACAAGAGGCCTTGCAGAGGGATCTAGATAGGCTGGAGCATTAATGGGATGAAATTTAACAAGAACAAATGCTGGATTCTGCACCTGGGATGGAGTAATGCTGGACACAAGTATAAATTTGGAGAGGAGTGGCTGGAGATCAACCCTGCAGAAAGGGATCTGAGGGGCTAGTTGACAGTAGGCTCAATATGAGTCAGCAGTGAGCCCTGGCAGCCAAGAGAGCAACCCACATCCTGGGGGGCATCAAACCCAGTACAACCAGCCAGTCAAAAGAGGCGATTATCTCACTGTATTTAGTGTTGGTGAGGCCTCACCTTTAATATTGTGTGCAGTTCTGGGCCCCACAACTTAGAAAGGATCTTAAGATACTTGAATGTGTCCAGAGGAGGGCAACAAGGCTGGTGAAAGGTCTGGAAAGAATGTCCTATGGGGAGTGGCTAAGGAGTTGGGGTTTGTCTAGTTTGGAGAAAAGGAGGCTGAGGGGTGACCGCATTGCTCTCTACAGCTTCCTGAGAAGGAGGAGGGGAGAGGGAAGTGCATCAGCACGTTTCTCCCTGGTATCCAGTGGTTCAAAACTGTGTCAGGGGAGGTTCAGAGTTGGACAGTGTCCTTAATATATTTTAACTTTTGCTCAGCCCTGAAGTAGTCAGGCTGTAGGACTATTCTATTCTGTTCATTACCTTCATGAAGCTTCTGTCTTTTCATTCCTCCAATCTGTCAAGGTCCCTCTGGGTGGTACCCCCACCCTCCAGCATATCAGTGGCTCCGCTCCCTAACATGCCATTATTTTTGACCTTGTTGAGAGTATGTTCTGTCTGTTTCTACCAGTTCACTAATGATCACTGAACAGTATCCCAGTACTGTCTTCTGAGGCGTGCTCTTCATAATTGGCCATCACACAGATTTCAAACCATTGATCATTATTCTTTGGGCCTGACAGTTCAGCCAGTTTCTCACTGACCTTTCTTACTGGGTGGCATCCAGTCCGTAGTTCCCCCATTTGGTCAGAAGGATGCTATGAGAGACTACAATCGAAAGGCTTACTGAAGTCAGTGCAAACAGCATCCACTGCCCTCTGCATATCCACAGAGCCTGTCATTTCATCATAAAAGTCAGTCAGGTTCATAGGCATGGCCTTGTTTAATCTGGCTGCCTGTTCATAGTCACCTTGTTCGCAGGTTGCCTGGAAGTGGCTTCCAGAACTTGCTCCATAAGGCTACAAGAGGCCAAGGTTGGGCTGAGTAGCCTGCCATTTCCCAGATCCTCCTTCCTGCCTTTTTAGAAAGGTGAGATGATATGTACCCCTTTCTGTCACTGGGGACCTCATGTAATTGCCACAATTTTTCATAGGTGACAGAATCAGTCTTAAAATGACATCCTTTTGCAAACAGGACTTTATTTATGTATTTATTTATGTACAGGGAGAAGATGGACATTCAGTGAAAGAAATTGAGAGCTGGGAGGAGCACATTTAATAGTTGCTCTTTGCACATTTCCAGAAGTTCCAGTGAACTCTAGTGAGGTTTAATGCCCAGTTTGGCAGGTACTAGAGAACTACGACTTGAAAGAATGTAATTTCTGGCCTGATGGATTTATGAACTTAAGGTAAGGTACAGTAAAG